AAAGTATCGAGTGATTGGAATGAATGGATGCGACATAGGAAGGACTAGGTGTAACATACTTATCAACAGAACATGTTGGCAGTGCATTGTAAGGGTACAAACAATCAAGGAAGGCGACATGAGTGTGTGGTAAAAAAAACATAAACGTTTGAGATGACTTGATCAATAATGAGTTATTCCCAACAACTGGTCAAACTGTCGTTTATGCTCGACAAGGTCCGAATCAACCTCCCAATGACAATTTGCGGGATTCTTGTCAATTAATCTTGCATCGGCTAACGTAGACGGTAGCCGTTGACGTCGTCGTACACGTCCCTGGATTATGCGTTATAGGGGAGGGATCAGAACTCATGGCTGCTCATTGCACTCTTGTGATGTTTTGCAGTTGGAGGTCGGCAGTTACGATACGTACACCGTGGGCACGAGCGTTATCGTCTTGAAAGGCAAAACGTGGACTAGCATGGAGCGAAAACGGAACTACTGTCGTCGCTAGCATGCTATCTCGGTAGTACTGTCCAGTGACCCTCATACATGTAGGGACAATACGCATTGGCGTTCTGGCAGTCATGGTGATCCTGCCCCATAGGAGTACAGACCCACCGTCAAATCTAATGTTGCCTTACGTTGACGTTCGTCGTCGTCTGTCCAGAGTGATTCGCGATTCCCCAAGTTTCCGCCCTCCGAACGTCATTGGTTTTGGGGTCCATCATTAACATTTGTGTCTGCAGAAACCTGTTCCAGTGTCTGCAAATCACAGACGAAGACACATTGAACATATTGGCTACAACTACTTCTCCCTGAGTTCAACCAGTTTGAAGCATGTCAATAACCTATAGACGTTCATTACGTTGTAGATGAACTGCATGGTCCACGTGAGATGTTTCGAGGGAGTTCGGTCGTTAGGTTTTGGTTCCCTAACTGTTCCATCTCTGGCATCAATATTTCAAACTTCATTTTTTCTTCTGAGTGAGTGAGTGAGTTGGGTTTTAACACCGTCTTTAACATTATTCCAGTTATATCACGGCGTGTCAGCTTAATGTGGGAGGGAGGCTCGAGGTGATGCAGGACTCAGACGTTTACCGTTTCGGTGAAACCCACGAGCACGGGTATGATGCTGACAAACCATGGAAACATAATCGGGGCGAACCGGGATTCAAACCCGCAATCATAGGTGGCTGGCGCAAGCTCCTCGCAGCGATAGCCCGTTCGCGGAACTCTCTATACTATCGCTGCCACCAGACAAAACTCCCCACTGGGTTAGGTGGCCCCAACCATGCTTGGAGTTGAACTCCCAACCGAATGACCGTTTTGTTTACAAACAAGTGACGTCTGTCGTGACACTGAATACCCTTATCCCTGCTAAATAACTTTCTTTGTTTGTCAATTTGAATTTCTATTTCACTAAAACTATTATGTTATTGATATAGTAAGAATGTAAGGAAGAAGATGGTTGATTTTCCGTTAGTCTGTAATCTAGAACCAATTTGATTATACAAACAACAAAGTTAATTCATTTGGAGAACATGGTCAGTCGAAAACCTTTTCAAAATTCACTATGATGACATAAACAAAGGTATGAACGTTACTACATTTGGGGCTAGAGGCCAAATTTCAAGATTCTTGTAATGGCCACGCCCACACTGGTGGCAGCGATGTTACCGAGGGTGTGACGGAGGTGTCACGCGCTGGAAAGGAGCTTGGTGTCTGGCGTGTCCAAGGGGCGCAAGTCTGCTCAGCGAATCGCGGTTTTCTTCTGACGACCGATTGTAACATTTCTCATCATCATGTACATTTACGTTACGATCATAGAAAACTGAAGCAAATAGGTATTCATTAGAAATATCACACCATGAATGAGGCATTATTCAAAATACAAAATGCACTTTGTGCTAATGAGTAAAATATAACTTTTTAACGGGGCTCGAATTTGGGGTTCAGTGACATAGAACCGAGTCTGGCAAATGTTCTATTCAGCCGCTCGCTGTTTTGAAATGTGACAAATATTGGCTGTCTCTTTATAATATGCAGGAATCTCGTTGTACCCCTAAAAGTGTCCTCACACGTTGCAGTTGTATATGAAATACTTCAAGGGACATTGTGGCGTTGTCGCCCTTGCAAAAACAAGCATAAAGGGTCAAAATTAGCCAAAGCGTGATGCGATAACGCGACATTTGTCACATTGTTGCGTTGTCGCATTGTAAGATGTCCGTGAGGATTATTCGACGTATTGCCATCTCTTTTTGTACGCCGTGCGTCATCCGTCATGCGAAATCTATTCACACTGCGATTTTGGTGGTCCGAAGTTCCGTGGTGTACTTATAGCAGCTCCCACAGAACATGGAATTGTCGGTTCCTAATTATAACTGACATGAATATACTCAACAGGCCGTATGCCTAATGTTCTTTTTCGCTATTTTCCATCAACAATGGTCTTACTACAGGATATGCTAAACTGCTATAGAAAAGGTATAGACTTCATATCCGAAAAATCTAAACATTAAGTGGCTATATTTGACTCGGCACGAAACCTACGTTTGTTTTTTAACCAAACATCATTGCAGTGGAATTCCTTTCGTTATTTTTACATTAAGGGTTGAAAGGAGAGTTAACACGTAACCCTAAATGTAAAATGTTCAGACACAGTATACTCCGAGCCGACCAGTCCTTGTTTTAACCCCTTAATGTTGAGCGCCAGACAGGGTAACAAGAACGTCTTTTGGTATGACGCGGCCGGGGATCTAACCCCGGACCTTCCACTCTCGGGGGGACGCTCTACCACGAGACCCCGGAGGCGGTCCTTAGGTCATGGGTAAAATGTACATCATTATTTTCGTGTTTCAATTATGTGAGGGACATACATCTCTTGATTTTCTAATCCTGACAGTCATTTAGTTTCGACATCGCGTACAATCATACAATTGTGATTTGTTATGTCGCTTTTATTTAAATCTTTCTGTCATTTCTGACTGAAAGTGCTACCTCACTGCTTGAAATATCACTTTTTCAATGTTCATAACCTGCATCGTAAAACTCTAGTAAACAGCGTTATTGTCTTGTATTTACAGGTTATATTTTGCTAATTTGGCTTTGCGTCCATTGACAAAAATTATTGAAAACATTACCTATTAAATAATTACAAAATTATCCCTACTGGTCACCGACCAGGTATCGCCATTTTTCATGTTATTTCTGAAATATCCCCGTTCAAAGTTAACTGTGCAATAAACTTTGCAAATGGGCAAATGCACGTATTTCTGTACGTGGACAAAAATCATTAGCTTTTTGTAATCACGCAACGACAGGGAATCAAAACAGTGGAAAAAAATACCCGTCGACCAACTGTACCAGTTATCGCCATCATCTAAACAGCACGTGCCACGTGATAAAGCACACTGCTTCAGTTTTACAAATTACATTTGTTTTATTTTCTTTGGTATCACAAGCTATTTTTATATTTGTTACAATTAATAATAAATGCTTTTATCAATTTGTCGTCTGCAAACTGACGTAGACCAATGTGCTTTACATACAGGGTTATTCACATTTGGAAAATAGCTCAAATAGGTTTTAGAATTGTTTTGGGGGGAAGAAATGACAGACAGAAAGTAAGCTATGACAGATCTGAAAGTGCATCATCGTGTTGTTGGATTTTTGTTTCCGCGTCAGTTAGTCACGTGACACCGCCCGCGTGTCTCTTCTAAAGTTGTATTTCAGCAAGGTGATTATATGGTATGTTTTTTAATATTTATTCACAGGAGTAATATTTGTCTATCATTTGTAGATAAATATTTCTCTCTTCTAATGAAACCGAGCAAAGGTAAAACGAGATGCGATCACGTGCGCGCTGTAGCGGGGACTAAGCGATAATTGGTCTTCGTCGACAGCTGGTCACTGGTCAGTTTTCAGGGTAACATGCGTGTTCACAGTTAGTTAACGGGAAAGTTCTCTTTCCACTCGTAATTCCTTCTCTGTGGTATAATAGAAATCAACCTATATGTTGTCCACGCAATGACATGAGCGCATTTGATCTGAATTTCACAAAACTAAATGTTTGTCGTGATGTTTTCGATACCAATTTTCAGAAATGACTAGAAAGAAATTGACAACAATTGTTCATCTGCTGGCATCTGCTTTTGAAACTGAGAGCAATCAAATAGCACGCGCCTCAGCTGGAGCGGTGTCCACATGATTTGCACGTTCTGGGCGGGCGGCTGGTCTATTTCGCACGTGCCGCACGACGTTTCTTCTGACAACAAAGCGCGAGGACATTTCAAAATATATTTGTATATTTACAATTAATTTAATTGCTGTTTGGTCTCAACATTTTTTCGTTTGCAGAAGAACACTATAACATACTCCAAATAATATAATAGCAGAATGTTCCAGAAATATTTCAAACATTACTTGTTCACTACATTTAATGTCGCTTAATGTTTATTGTGTTATTGACTGTTTGTGTCCTTTTCTGATAATGCTGCCCATCTCCTGTCTCCCATCGCCAAGCCCTCAGCCCCCAGTGCGTCCTCCAACGTGCTACACCAAACTCCACCAACTACCGGAGGACGTCACCAGGTCACGTGACACTGTGATCTCAACATCCTCAATTTAAGCTTCTTCCTCATTATACTGCGTTCACTCGTGTTTCTGTTAAACGACGGTGAACAACTGTGATCGCGAGTATTCGCGCTCTGCGTGATTATTGCGCGATGTGTATCCTTTTGTTCTCCACTGCAAGTATTTCAGTCACGAACCTTTTACACCAGACCTGTTACTAACTTATTTTACATTAGGGTTAAAAGATTACAGTATACATACACCAAAACGTAATACACAGAAGGTCTGATGCACATACTACTGCACTGTGATTATATTACATCATTTGTATGTCAGTACATTGTACTTAGCTGTGCATTCCTTGCAATTGGATATTTTTGTACAACTTTAATACCCTATTTTGATTCATTTGTTATTCACTTGTAAACTACATTCATATGTTGTAGGTATACATCTGAAGTTTGACAAAGACAGAGTCAATCTCGACTACGTCCACATCAACACAGAAGGAGACCTGGTCAACAGGAAGTCGGGCACCAGACCTGCAGGGGAGGGGAGACTGAAGAAGTATGAGGGCACATGTAGCACTGCACCCCTCCCGCAGGCTGGCTGTCCCCAGTACTGGGAGATGTTGAACAGGGTCAGTCTGGACAAACCACTCACAGAGACCAACCTCATCCTGGAGGTGGGTGTATGCAGGGAGGAGCAGAGGGACGTGCATCATTATATAAGTAAACAATCCAGGTCCTATAGCATGGCCGTCTCCCGCTGTACTACACACGGTGGGATATGCAGGCAGACATGGAAGGAGGGGAGGTATGTGCTGTGTCTACCTGACACTCTCCCAAACACAGCAGGGACATCACACACACTACATTACGGTCTTATCTATGATGACACCAGGAAGAAGATTGTCTTCATTGATGTGAAGGAGAATAAAGTGATATGGACGATAGACAATGTAGACCCTAGTCAGCCACTGTGGCCGATGTTCGGGGTGTATAACTCATATCTCCTCACTGTCAGCATGACACTTGTAGTAGGCAGCGACATCAACATGACAGAGGAGAAGAAAGCAATAATTGTCAAGGCGTTGTCGTGATGGTGACAATGATTGTCAAGGCGTTGTCGTGATGGTGACAATGATTGTCAAGGCGTTGTCGTGATGTTGACAATGATTGTCAAGGCGTTGTCGTGATGGTGACAATGATTGTCAAGGCACTGTCGTGATGGTGACAATGATTCTCAAGGCGTTGTCGTGATGGTGACAATGATTGTCAAGGGCTGTCGTGATATTGACAATGATTTCAAGGGCTGTCGTGATAGTGACAATGATTGTCAAGGGCTGTCGTGATAGTGACAATGATTGTCAAGGCCTATCGTGACAGTGACAATGATTGCCAAGGCGCTATCGTGATGGTGACAATGATTGTGAAGGGCTGTCCTGATGGTGACAATGATTGTTAAGGAGCTGTCGTGGTGGTGACAACAATTGTCAAGGGCTGTCCTGATAGTGACAATGATTTCAAGGGCTGTCGTGATGGTGACAATGATTGCCAAGGCTCTGTCGTGATGGTGACAATGAGTGTCAAGGCCCTGTCGTGATGGTGATAATGATTGTTAAGGCGCTGTCGTGATGATGACAATGATTGTCAAGGGCTGTTGTGATAGTGACAATGATTGTCAAGGCCTGTCGTGACAGTGACAATGATTGCCAAGGCGCTGTCGTGATGGTAAAAATGATTGTCAAGGGCTGTCCTGATGGTGACAATGATTGTTAAGGCGTTGTCGTGGTGGTGACAATGATTGTCAAGGGCTGTCGTGATAGTGACAATGATTGTCAAGGCCTGTCGTGATAGTGACAATGATTGCCAAGGCGCTGTCGTGATGGTTGACAATGATTGTTAAGGCGCTGTCCTGATGGTGACAATGATTGTTAAGGCGCTGTCGTGGTGGTGGCAATGATTGTCAAGGGCTGTCCTGATAGTGACAATGATTTCAAGGGCTGTCGTGATAGTGACAATGATTGTCAAGGCCTGTCGTGATGTTGACAATGATTGCCAAGGCTCTGTCGTGATGGTGACAATGAGTGTCAAGGCCCTGTCGTGATGGTGATAATGATTGTTAAGGCGCTGTCGTGATGGTGACAATGATTGTCAAGGGCTGTCGTGATAGTGACAATGATTGTCAAGGCCTGTCGTGACAGTGACAATGATTGCCAAGGCGCTGTCGTGATGGTAAAAATGATTGTCAAGGGCTGTCCTGATGGTGACAATGATTGTTAAGGCGTTGTCGTGGTGGTGACAATGATTGTCAAGGGCTGTCGTGATAGTGACAATGATTGTCAAGGCCTGTCGTGATAGTGACAATGATTGCCAAGGCGCTGTCGTGATGGTGACAATGATTGTTAAGGCGCTGTCGTGATGGTGACAATGATTGTGAGGGCGCTGTCGTGATGGTGACACTGATTGCGTAGGCGTTGTCGTGCTGTTGGCAGTGATTGTCAAGGCGCTGTCGGGATGGTGACACTGATTGCCAATGCGCTGTCGTGCTGTTGGCAGTGATTGTAAAGGCCCTGTCATGATGGTGACAATGATTGTCAAGACTCTGTCGTGACGGTGACAATGATTGTGAAGGCACTGTCGTGATAGTGACAATGATTGTCAAGGCGCTGTCTGGATGGTGACAACGATTGTCAAGGCGTTGTCGTGATGGTGACAAGGATTGTCAAGACTCTGTCGTGACGGTGACAATGATTGTCAAGGCTCTGTCATGATGGTGAGAATGATTGTCAAGGCACTGTCGGGATGGTGAGAATGATCGTGATATGAACACACAGATTTGTAGCAGATACTCACTGCTCAGGAACAACTACATGACTCGAACATGTCTTGTCTGTGAAGGAGACACGGGTGGCCTAGTGGTCTGAGGCGCCGCGATTCGCTGTGAAGAGTTGCGTCCCTTGGGCACGCCAGAAACCTATGATTGTGGGTTCGAATCCCGGTTCGCCCCGATTATGTTTCTAGGTTAAGCACATTAAGCTGACACGCCGTGATATAACTGGAATAATGTTAAAAGCGCAGTTAAACCCAACTCACTATCTCTTCTCTGTGAAAGAAGGCATTCATCTTCGTATGTACAAATATCAAACAGTAAACAGTGTAGTGTGTACACAAAACCAGAAGTTTAACTTATGATCTCCTACACCTATCAACTATAACTCCCTGAACCTGTAATATTGATGTGATATGTGTAAATGTATATAACACTTAGATATATAGGTAAAACGTTTTTGTTGGTTTGTTTATTTATTTGTTTGTAACTTAACGCCGCACTCAAAACTATTCCAGCTATATGATGATGGTCGTTAATTGATCGAGTCGGGACCAGACAAGTCAGTGACTGACGTCAAGAGCATCCATAAACGCTATTGGGATACGATGACATGCATCAACCAAGTCAGCGAGCCTTACCACCCAATCCATTTGTCGCCTCTTTCAAGCAAAGTCGCCTCTTACAACAAGCATGTGTTGCTGAAGACCTATTCTTACTTTGATCTTCATGGGTGGGGTATAACTATCATCATAGGGCATTGTACTAGTACGACATACAATCAGGCAAGTCGCCGAACCTGACCAATCGATCAATGCAGTCGCCTCGTTTTGCATGCTGACAGGGGATAGCAGAGGAATTTGTTTAGATGTTTATCAAACAAAATGAAGTAAGTGACATTGCGATAAGCTATTGTTTTGAAAATAATTACTTAAAACTTGCTGATTTGCCGGACGAAAGAAAATCGAGGGCTGCTGCGAATGATCATTACCAGAAATATAGCGCTACCTTTATTGTAGCTAAAGTACATAGAATTTATTTTCTGACACAAATAAAGATCCATATCGGTTTTGAAATATTTTCTGCAATCAACAAACAGCGAATGCCACTGACCCTATTTTTACAAATATGGAAAAGTCATGGAACAAATCAGATGACGTCAAAGCTGACTCCCTATGACGTCACCTAACAAATGGCCCAAGTTTCAGTGGCCCGCTCATTTCTGATAACACGCGGGTAGTTTAATGATAATTCTATCCATTTTAGTTATAATGCTTGTCATCATATCCCAATTGCGTAGATCGATGCTCATGATGTCAATCACTGAATTATCTGGTCCAGACTTGATTATTAGCTCACCGGGTCTGAAGGATCAAGGTGAGCTTATACCATACCATGGCGTCCGTCGTCCGTCCGTCCGTCGTCCGTTCGTTTAAAAAAATATTTGAACGACTTGTTCTTCTGAACCACTATTTGGAAATTTGACTGGAAGTGCCCCTAGGTGGCGGGGATTCAAAATTGTACAAATGGTGGGGCTGACCCCCCAAGGGGCTGAGGGGCGGGGCCAAATAGGTGTAATTTTGCTTTAAACGACTTCTTTTCTGGAACTAAGAGAAGGATATCAACCATGTTGGTTTGGAAGCATTCTCAGGTGGTGAGCATTCAAGTTTTTTTCAATTGGAAGGGCTGATCACCCCCGAAGAGTTTATAACGTGGACACAGGTAAGACCCCCACTGTATAACCATATGTACAATTGGGAGTATAATGAGAGGAATGCACATATGCTACCAGGACTGGCCCTTCTGTTCATCTGTCCGGCACTCCCAAAGGAGTTAGAACCTTGACCATAGCATGCAAACCGATATTATCCCCACCCTATAATAAACAGATACATTGTATACATTTGTTTGTTATGAAGAGAAAAATACCTTTAATATGATTTAGCCAGGATCATAACATGGAAACGGTTCAGATCTTTATGTTACATTTGTATCTTGAGAAACACATGTTCATGCTCTCATATTTGCCATATATTGGCCATATATATATATAACGTGCTGTAAACTACTGGTGGCGCATAATTAATTAATTTACCTGATTTCATCTTATGTTTAAAATACTTTAACACGTTGTTACAAGCTGCTTCGTAAATTGGGTATCTAGAATAAAAATTAAGAACGATTATGGTTGATGGATTACGATTATGGTCTAGAACCTTGCGTCTGATGGAAAATAATCAAACTCACTCCATATTGGCTGTCCTTTCACTCTGAGGCTGGATTGGGCAACTTAATGCAAGCTTTATTTAAGAACGCTTCCAGAGACAATTGATTGCGATCAAAGATTTGAGAGAACACGATTGAACGATTGCTCTAAGCAGTGACCATGTAATATGGTGTCTGCTCCGAGGCTGTACTGAATGGTCTATGTGTGTACAGTAACTCTATCCTTATAATGGGCAAGTCTCGCAAGTATGTAATCTTGAAATTATGATTTAAGCTAATGAGTTTTTCCTTCCAGACCGCATTACTCGCTAACTCCTCAAGACACTATCACAATCAAATCACTAATCTCGTGGCCACGGAAGCACGTTAGCGGCACTCAAGACACTAGTAATAACAGTTTGCAAACTGAGAAAGTTGGACGAATGATTTTGGAATATAATCAACATAAACTGACGGTCAGAAAAAACAACTTTACCACTTTGAAAATAAAATTGCTAAAATCTAAAACAAGTTCAGGCTAAATCAAGGCAAAACACATCGTCCAAACACAATAATATATTATGCAAAAAGTGATACACGTCCACGTTACGTTGTTTTTGTAGAAAATGCGAAAAGGTGAAAAACACGTGCCACCTGGGCTGTCGAAACTGCACATGCAATAAGGGTATATAACTGATACGGACGGCAAGTAAGACACTCATACAGAGTAACTACGCCAAATGAAGACCAGAACATGCGTACTTATCATCTCCGAAATACATTGCTGACAGTGACGTCATCAGCATTGAATGCCCGAGGACATATGGGTAGTCGACAGTGTCCAGGCGACTCAGAGCTCAAGGATATATGATTTACAGATCATACATACAGAGGACAGTTATTGACAGTGGAACATCATCGTCAGAGATTGAGATGGGCCTGGACTGTACGTCGTTGGCAGCCGTTTAAAGTCGGCTCTGTCTGATCAGAGCTGATGGACGATAGCGTGTTTACCACCGAAGGGGAGAACGAACGGCGGCATGTTACATTCAGGAGGTCGTGCCGTATGGTGGAGGGAATTTGTTTGGTGTGAGTGTGTGTGTGTGTTGGGAGGTGGGATATGTTGGCAGAAGAGAACACTACTGCTCACAATTTGACAGCTCATCATTACATGGGTGATATTCTTCTCCACCGATTAGTCTACCGTTTCTACAGCCACGTGGTCTTCTTTAACGGCATGACAACGTCAGACCCAATACCGCCAGAACTTGCTTGCAGCAAACAACATCAACGTGTAATCGTGGCCTGCACGTTCCGCAGACATGTCCACCATAGCACACCTATGGGACGACATGGATCGCTGTGTTCGACAGCGACCACATCCTCCCCACCCCAAGAAGAATGGCGACGTATTCCACGTGACGTCATCAGAAGACTGACTTTTTCTGTGCGCCACTGAGTGTTTGCGTGTCTTAAAGCAGGGGGTGGTCACACACGCTACAATTGTGACGTTTTTGAACTGGACCGATTTTAGATGTATGTGCCATCAGGTGAAAGTTGGTTTTGCTACCGGAGATCGATTCGATCAACTATCATTCCAATACTGGATGTTGTTTGACTCTCATTTTCAATGTTGATACCGTTGAGATGTATATCTTTTCAATACAATTTACTTCGTGCATTAATGTTTTGTGGTTTTTAAACTAGAGTGATTTAAAGATATAGTAAAGTTTCTTTTGGACGTCAGTTGATATATTATTTCACTAACGTGTCCTTTAATATCACTCTCAGGCAAGCCTCGGTTGACATGCTATGTGTCCTATGCACACCTTGTTAAAACACACTGAATTCATAAACATATATTATTGGCGGGGCTTATTAAATACATTCTGTAAGGAATTGGGATCATGTTAAGCTCTTGTGAAGTGTGAGGGTGTATGTGCATGTAATCAATATGTTGGTGGGTGTAAAAAGCAGGACATCTGCATGCCAGATGAACTGACCATGGAGAACATCCAACGTCCCGTAGAACTAATTATAAAGAAACACAACCAGTTTCGTATTCTTCGTACGATATCACACATATATGCCTCTCATCACTTGGTTGTACTCATTCCAGCTTGAGAACGGCGTAACATCGTACATTGAAACGTCGCTTATGCAATAAACCAGAATTTGTTATCCATGTTATTAATATATGTCTTCATAATTACTTCTAAGTTCATTTACATATTTACCTGAGAATAATACTTCATCACCAATTGTATATACAATTAAACTAACAAAGATAACATTTGTTTATATTAAGTAAGTATTGTACCATATTATAACTGAACTAACCTTGAATAAACAGGGCAAAGTTTAAACACTGTTGTTCCGGGAACTTAGAACAGTACGGTTCTGAAGACAATTCTTTTGTAAAGAATCTATCATTTCTAGCTTTTGAGGGATAAAAAATTCAGAATGTGATATTTGTGGACATTGATCTTCAAGGACCCTCTTTACAAAATGTTTAACATAATTAACGTTTAGGACACTTGTACGTTAACCCACATTCTGGAATAAGATTAAACTTTTAATTTTTTTCGCCTGATTCATAATGTTCATAAAACAATAGTTCGTATGTTTGATATGATAACTTAAAAATATAGTTCTCTATAAACACCAATGTGCTACACGTGAAACTCGAATATTTGGTTGTGTACAAGACATTATATAGACATTATATTGTATAGACATTCAAACAGCTGCGAGGACAATAGGGTACAACTTCGCCAAGCCCTTTGTTCTCGCAAACGTATGTTAATATCTCGTCATCAAACTATTAATTTGATACTGCCGATCGCAGGTTAATTGATGTCGACGTTAGACA